AGAGAGCACTCAATTGCACCAATTCTGCCACAGTTGTGACAGGTGAGCTGGAGATTGCATGCCAGATTGCCCAGAACTACAGCTTGTGCAAAGATCTGAACAAGGCAGTGCAACAGGCTGCAGCAGGGCAGCCCAGGTGTGCAAGCTATCTGCCCACCATAGGACACTATGTCAGGCTATATGGTGGCGGGGACAAGTTTCCTTTGATCACATTTTTGAAGGAAGTCAGCAAGTCATATGGGCATTCCTTGCTGATTGGTGAAGAGTTCTTTTCCAGCATTACCTATGCAGAGTTCAAGATGAAGACCTCCATGGCTCCTTTCTTGAGGGCTGCAGTGCTTTGCACCCAACTTACCTCACCCAAGCATTGTGATGGGATCAGCAAGTTGCTGACAAAGAGTGATGTGGACAAGATGAAGAGTGTGCAGATGCTGGCCAAGGTGGAGGAAGCAGAAAATGTGCTCTGTGCAGGGTGGGCTGCTTGCCTGATGGAAAAGGCCAGCCAGGAGCACAGCACTGCAGCATTTGGCCGCTTGTGCATCAGGACAGTCCTTCACTTGGCCAGCAAAGAGAAGCACGGCAGAGAGCCAGCTGGATGGCCCAGTGTTGCTGCCATCAGCAAGGCTTTTGCAGAGGAGATCAAGCAACCAAAGGCAAGCAGTGTGACTGCACATGAAAAGCCAGCCTGCAGCCCCTCCAAAGCCAAGAAGGATGCAGGCTTGCCAGAGAACTTGCTTGAAAGCAGCCCTGCCCACACTGCACTTGTGCTGAATAAGCACATCACAATTGGCAACTTGTACACTTGCAGCCAGCAAGGTGGTAAAGTGCTGAAGCTTGTGAAGGTTGACAATGAAGGTGCTCTCTTTGTTTACACACCCTTGCTAGGGGCAGCAGAGGAAGTGGTGGTCAAGCTGGACAACTTGAAGAGCATGAGGCCTAGCAAGCAGAAAGAACAGACAGCTTGCCCAAGCTCTGTTGCCAAGGGGCTGTTGCCACAAAACTCAGAAGCTTTGCAAGAGATGGAGGCAGTGAGCAAGGCTCAGCTAGCCCTGGTGCAAGCATTCATGAATGGGAAGCAGCCTTCAGAAGAGGACATCATGTTCAGCAACCACCCTCCAGGAGTTGTCAGCCAGAAGAAGTTCAAAGCCAAGCAGTTAGTGCTGATGTCCATTGGTGCAGTCAGCCTTTGCAAGGACCCTGCTGCAAGCAGGCTCCCCAAGCTTGTGTGTGGCAAGGATGTCTTCACAGTGTCCCAGCCCAAGTTGTGGCCAGACTTTGCAAAGCCGGCACCAGAGCAGTGCATGATGAGCCCTTTCTGGTGGGTGAGGACAACATCAGAGGAGGACAAGGTCAATATGGTCAGAAAGCCAATCACTATAGGCAAAATGGAGATACCTTGCCTGGTTAACTGCAAAGCTGTAGAGAAAGGGGACATGCTGCTGGAGGCCAACACCAAGCTCTGCCATGATATGAAGGATGTTGAACAGGAGCCTGTGAGGAAGAGGGCCAGAACAAAGCAATCAAGCTAAGCTGCTTGAGTGCAAGGTGACAGAGGAGCCAGCTGGTTGGCTGGCTGTGGCGTTGGTGAAAACCAAGGCACCAAGTTTTTTGTTTATCATGTGCCACACATGTTCAGCAAGCCCTTGAGGCTCGTGCTCAGTCAGCCACTGGGGCTCATGTTCAACCAGCCGTCGTGCTCAGTCAGCCTTTAAGGCTTATATTTTGCCAGCCTTTAAGGCTCATGTTCCTTCAGCCTCTAAGGCTCATGTTCCTTCAGCCTTGTAAGGCTCATGTTAAGCCAGCCATGGCTCATGTTGACTCAGCTTTTGAGCTCACGCCCAGTCAGCTTGCAAGGATCACTTTCATGCAACCCTTGGTGTTCATGTTCAACCAGCTTGAAAGCTCATGTCCAGCCTTTACGGCTCATGCCTTCCACACAGGCATGCACACCCGTTTGCCATGGCAGGCTCATGGTACTCTTACTTGTAGGTGTCAGCTCATAGTTATGGCATTGACAATCCAAACCTTATTTGGCATCTCCTACAAGGGGAAGCATTGCAAAGTGCCAGAAGACCTTCTTGTGAAGGAGGAGGAGACACAAGAGATGTTTCTGAAGATCAGGCCCACGCACGTTGGCTTGATCCATGTTATTTGTGCTGGCCAGGACATTTCTAAAGGAATGAGCTTGTCAGAAAGCAGTGGCCTCAAAAAGCTGAAGGGCTTGAGGGATGCTGCCATTGATGAGGTGCTCAGTTCCACCGCTGAGCAGAAAGGAGCAGATGCACAGGAGCCAGATGACCTCTTTCAAGCTGAGGCAGAGGGTTCTGAAGTGGGCCCAAGGAAGAAGAAGGTGAAGATTGCACCAAGCCTGCTCCCAAACACAATCGTGATAAGCCTGGACAACTTCAAGGTCAAGGTGTTGGTCCCCAAGGCCAGGCACAGCCAAGCTGACTTGACTGTCCTTTTTCACCAAGACCACCTGTTGCCAGTTTTTGAACTGATTGCTGCAGACTGTGAAGAGTGTTCTCAAGCTTGCAAGAGGAGCTACAGAAGGACTGGCAAGTTTGCTGCTGCGGAGTGCCAAAACAACATGCAGAGTGCTGGCATGTTGTCAGCAAACAGCACTTGAAGTTTCAGCACAGTCAGCCTACATGGCTCATGTGTTCAGAGTTTCCGGCCACTGCCACGGTCAGCCCATGAAGGCTCAGGTTTCCACATGCTCAATTCTAGCAAAGGGCAACCTGTTTCTGAAACAGTTTTTCATTTATTGTGCTTTTGCAGGTGTGGGTGGCTCAGACACTGGAGGGAAAGCTTCTGGTAGGCCAACCCATGGGAGAAGCAGCTGCTTGGTCAAGGAGCAGAAGCAGGAGTTCAGAAGGAGCTCCTGCTCAAGAAGATGCTGTGCAAGGCAGGCAAAGGCAGCAGCTGTGGGAAGCTGAAGTGTTTTTGAGAATGAGGACAGCACCTGAGCCTCGCGGTGGAGACCTGGCGGAGCCAACAACACCTGTGTGGACACTGATGAAGGGGAACCTGCTGTCAACCAGATCAAGCCAGAGGCTGCAACTGGATACAGAGCTCGTGGCTGCCACTGCCTGGACTCCAGCTACTTCATGCCCAAAGGATGCCCTCATGAGCTGGACAACTCAGATGGAGAAGTACCTTCTGGGAGGTGTCGAGATTTGCTGTGCTCTACCTGCTCCAGGTGCTTGAGGTGCGATGGGTTTTGCTGGCACTTGGACCAGCTGCCAAAATGCAGCTGCACAAGTGCAGGGCTGTTTGGCTCTGGGTTTGTACACTAGTGGGTACAGCAGGAGCCGAGGGTATAGAGAATGAAAAAGTGTTACAATGGGCATTTGCTTGTGATTGCATTTCAACATGTTTGTCAGATGTTTCTTTGGAACACTCAGCCAGGTTGGCTCATGTACACTGGAAGATGCAAGCATAATCAGCCAGCATGGCTCATGGCAGCTTGTTTGTTTTTGGCAGATGATTCAGCCTGCAAGGCTCATTCATGTTCAGTTGGCTGCAGCTCTGAATTGTTTTCATGGCAGATGTGATGGCCCAAGAGGGCTGGAGAGAATGCATGCAGACAGCAGAGCAACAAACACAAAGCATCACACACACACACACTCAGACAGGCAGCAAGGTAGAGCATGCAGAAAGATCCTGAGATGATGGCATCCTGGACCAGGCCTTCATCCACGAAAAGGACATGGGAGGAGGCCAGTGGCGGCTGGCAAGAGCACAAGAAGTGGGTCAAGGAGGATTGGAGCCGCGGTGGAGATGGCTGGAGCAGGTGGAGATGGGAGCAGCAAGACGAGTGGTCAGAGGTTGGCGAGGACGAGCAGGAGAAGACAGACCCACAGCAGGAACATGGTGAGGCAGTCCGTGATGACACAAAGCCTTGCCAAGCCCAGGGGGAGGAGAAGCAAAGCGAAGGCTCAGAGCCCTGCCTTCAGAAGCCAGAGCAGATGGAGCAGAAGAAGAACGAGTGGTGGGAATGGGAGAAGCCGAGAAAGGAGTGGGAGTGGGAGAAGCCGAGAACACCGACCAGCACGCCACACTTGCAGCAGCAGGAATGGCAGAAGCCCAAGTCTGGCTGGATGAACAGGCTGACCACCTTGCTGGCAGCACTGAAGAGAGGAGATGAAGTCAGGGTGAAGTACCTCACTAAGAAGTTTAGTGAGCACTGGGCCGTAGAGAGCCTTGTGACAAGGCACATCAAGTGCATTAACAGATGGGGATGGGATCCAGCCTATGACTTTTAGGCATGGATGGTGGGCAAAGGGGATGGCATTGAAGCTCAAGGGCTTGCTTCCAGCAGACAGTGATGTTTGACACTCACAGTACACTGCAGATGAGCCCATCTCCCATGCTCGTGATTTGTATAGAATTGTACAGACCTTGACCGCCCACTGCAGCGTTACACGCAGGAAAATGATTGAGCTTTGAGTTGAGTGTTGGTGTGACACCTGGAGTTGAACCAGCAGTCAGCCTACCCAGGCTCAAGTTATGGTTGCAGATTGTGCTCAGTCAGCCATGAAAAGGCTCATGTGTCAACATACATAAAGCAATACTGATAAATTTAAGCAGATAACTTTCAATTTATAAAAACAAATTGAAATTCAGGGTTTTTATTTTCAATTTATAAAAACAAATTGAAATTGAGGTTTCAATTTATAAAAACAAATTGAAAACTCGATTTCAATTTGTTTTTATAAATTGAAAATCAAACCCCTGAAATTCAATTTGTTTTTATAAATTGAAAGGTATGTTTGCACATTGTCAGATCTGATTGGCTATCCATGATGCACAATTGAATTGGTTGATTATGTTGTATTTCATGATGATCATATATGCTCTCATGGTGGCTGTTTTCCATGTGGCTGCCCAATGTGTAGGAGCTCAGATGTTTCAGAGTTAGCACTCTCTGTTCCATTCAAAACCTAGGACTGACAGATGTTTGATTGCTGTACTTGGTTGTTGGCATGATCATTTGCTTGTACACTTTGCAACTGGTGTTGCCCAACTGTGCCATATTGTGTGTGTACAGTCATTTGCAATGTGCCATCCATTTGTTATGCATCCTACTTGGGAACAGACGATTTTCAGGAAACAACACGACATGATTTCATTTCAGGATGCATTCCCCATTGGTGCCATTGATTTGTGCAAGTGTGTGTGTGTGTATCCACCAGAAGTAGTCTAGCGCCATGGGGTCTGTTGCTGATTTCATCAAAGAGATCTCAGATTTGGAGCAGCTTCAGGCAATCAGGCCATGCCAGGTAATGGCCACGAGCCTGTTGGAAGCTGCCTGCAAGAGATTCCATTTGCAGTGTCAAGCAACCAGTGCAGATTTGATTGACTTGTGCAAGGCAGTGGACAAGTGCAGTTTAGACAGCAGCCTGAAGCAAGTGGTTTTGAAGGCAGTTGATGAGAAGATGCTGATCTCCAGCTCAGAGACCAAACCACTAGGGCAACACCAGGTCCTTGCATATTTGTGCAATTACCTCACTGGCAAGGACTGGGAGCTCTTGACATCAGGAACCCAGATGGGGAGTCAGTGGATGAAGAAAGCTTCTGAGGAGTCAGACCCCCCTATCAGCAAAAGCATCCCCAGCTTGAAGGTTCTAGAACAGTTCCACACTCCAGTGAGAAGTTCAAGCAGGTTGCTTACCAAGACTTCTGCTGGTCACAGCCCAGATGGTCAGTTGGCTGCTGACCAAATGTTGAAAGCAGTCTTGAGTATCTGCAGAGGGAGTGCCAGCAATGCACCAGGAATTGACATCAATGTCTTGAAGCCTGGGCCAAAAGCAGCCAGGCTGGTTGCTGGCACAGGTGCAACAAGTTTCAAGCTTGGTGGCAGCCTGTCGGGCCAGAGCCTAGAGGCAGACAGCCTAGACAGTTCAGAACAGGATAAGGGGCTAAAGAAGGCACACACACTTCAGATGCTGCAGCTGGAAGATGCACATCCCCAAGGTCACTTGCAGACACCTGTGGCAAAGCAGGCTGGCAAGGAAGCTGTGCCACAAGCTGAGACGATCACACCAGAGCCAGTCTCTTCAACAGAGCCAGCCATCTTCCAAGGATTTGGCATCTTATGAAGATGATGCGTTTGCTTTGCTGAAGAACAGAAAGAGTGGAACAGCAGCAAAGGCCACAACAAAAGCCAGAGCTGCTAAAAAGGACAAGGTGATGAAAAAGCCAGCAGCTGCACCTGCACACAGCGAGAAGTATGGGTGCTCAAGATGCAGAGGGAATGTGAAAGGATGTGACGTTTGCTGGGATCCCAATTTTGCAGGGGTCAGGCTGCCTGGAAGGCAGGCGTGGACCAAATTCATGGAGAAGAGAAAAAGGGATGCTTTGACCAGGTGAGAAGGTCCCTGCCAGAGCACTGCTTGGGTGAGGCCATTTGCTTCCATGCAAATGCCAGGGGTGAAGCAGCAGGGGTGCTGTCCAAAAAGGGGCATTCAATGCCAAATCAATCTGACCGCTTAGACATGGAAAAAGGACAGCTTGCATTGCCAGCTATTCATGGCCAGTTCAAGCAATAAGCTTTGCCTTTATGTTTGTTTGCAATCAGTCAGTAAGCTCATGTTTTCAGCAGTCAGCCAGCAGGCTCATGTTTTCAGCAGTCAGCCAGCAAGGCTCGTGTTTTTGGAGCAGCTCTGTGCTGGGTTGGGCAGGACATGTAATGCATAGATGTGCCTGGCAGGAATGTGGCACATAGGCACTTGCAAAGGCAGGGGCCTGTGGAGGAAGTCCTTCCATGGCTTCATGAGGACTGACCACGGATGCCAACCAAAGAACTGTGCATGCTGTGAGGTCCCACGAATGTGCCAGTTGTGTCACTACACTTGGCTGAATGAGCTGAGCCAGCAGAGGAGGCTTGTCTTGGAACAGTTTCACAGTCAGCAGATGAGTTGGGAGGAGTTGAGGCATACAGCAGCTCGAGTGACAATGGTGACCCTTTGGCAGCTGGCAGCAAAGGGGCACCTGTCAGCAAAGCTGCAGTTGGCCGCAAAGGCACCGCTGGCAGGAAAGGTGAAACTGGCAGCAAGGGCCCCGCTACAAGCAGGAAAGGCAGGAACAAGATGCCCCCTGCTTGGGCTACTGCTTCGGTGCCTTCTTCAAGCAGGAGCTGGAAAGGCAAAGGCATCTCAGAAGAAGATGGTGCTGGTGGCTATGGCCAAGGTGCTGGGAAGCAATCTTCAACGTTTCACCACAAAGGTGGGGAGGCTAGTGAGAAATAGATATGTGGCTTTGTGCAGCAAAAGGCATGGGCAGCTTCAGTGCTGGCAGCAGTCTTGCAGCAGTCAGCCACTTTCAGGCTCATTGCATTGACACACTTTTCAACAGTCAGCCACTTTGAGGCTCATTGCATTGACACATCTTTGCAGCAGTCACAGCCAAATCATTTGTGTTTTGGGTGTGCTTTGGGAACCGGCCCTACATGAACTTATGCTGAAAGCTTTGGCTGCAGACACACAAACGCACAGCCAGTCCTCACACATGCCCTTGCAGAAACAATCATGCTTGCAAGCTGCAAAGCTGTTTTGCTGCTGCCACCTTTGCTTGCTGCACTTTGAATGTGGCTGCTGGCTCTTCTCTACTTTCTGCTGCTGCAGCCCTTCTTCTTGTCACAGGTGCTACAGTGAGCCAAGGAGCCGAATGCCCTTAACTAAAGAACAGCAATGAGCCTCAAAGTGGCCGCTGAAGCCATAGTAGGCCTTTCAAGGTTTGTGCAAGTTCAGATGCCAGAGAATGGAAAGCCATGGCCATGCCATGCAATGCTTCAGCAAAGCAAGCGAGGGACTCAAAGCTCAAGCAGATCAATAAGTTGAGGAGGTCTGTTCCATATGTTTCAGCAGCAGCACTGGAAGCAATTGTGAAGGAAATTGCAAAGGAAGGCATCCCACAGCTTTCAGGCAGAAAGCACATGAGAGAGGGTGCTTCCAATCAGCTTGCAGAAATAAATGGTTTTGGCCCTTTGCTGCAGCAGTTTGATGCTGTGACCTTGCAACAGAGTGTGGTGAAACTCACAATGGTTAACTTCCTGTCCCTGCTTTCAGGTGCATTTGGGCAAGGAGGGTCTTACCATGACCTCATTATGAAGACACACTTGGCAAAGCCAAGCACCTTCACTGATCCTTGGGGGGTCTGCATCTATGCAGATGAACTGCACCCAGGGAACCAGCTGTCCTTGAAGGGTGCAAGAAAGATGTGGGCAGTTTATGCCACACTGACATCCTTTGGGCAAGCAGTGATGTCAAACTCTGCAGCTTGGATGGTGCTGTTTGTGTGCAGAAGTGAGATTGTAAACCAGCTTGATGGCAACATTGGCCAATGCATCAAACTCTTACTGCACTCCATGTTCAACAACCCCTATGGCAACCCAGCCTATGGATGAGGATTGCAGTATGATGTGCAAGACTATAAAGCACTCTGAGCTTGACCTATGCACAGACAGTGAGCTCTTCCAAGCTTGGGACAGGCTTGCAGACCGTCGTGGCAATGTGAGTGCAGGGGATTGGAAATTGTGGCAGCAAGCTACTGGCATGACTTTCACAGCACATGGGCTGCTGGAAGACAAAAGCCGGTGAAGCCATTGAAGCAGTGGTGCCATGATTACATGCATGGCATGTGCAGCAATGGTGTGATGAACTCCCTCATTTTTGTTGGTGTTTCAATCAATTTCCCAGAATGGCCTCAATGTTTGGAATATCATGTTCAGTTGGCTTCAGCTGTGGACCTTTCCACAGGCAACAAGGCACAGCAAGGTGCACCAGCTGTTCACCAACAAGAGGGTGGAGTCACACAAAAAGGCCAGGAAGCTCAAAGCCCAAGCTTCAGACATTTTGAGCCTGTACAAGATGATTGCTTTTTATTTGCAGACTGTGTGCATGAAGGCAGGCCTCTGCATCAAGCAATGTCATGCATATTTGTGTATGTGCACTGTTCTGGACCTCTTGCAAAGTGTGCCTCATGGGGTTGTGACAGCCAAGATGATCACAGCTTCCGTGGAAGCAGCTCTGGAAGCCATGCGTGCTGCTGGGTGGCAATCAGAAATGGTCCCTAAGCACCACTGGATGCTGCACTATGGTGATGCTCTAAGAAAATTCCAGATGCTGCCAGCATGCTGGAGCATGGAGAGGAAGCACAAGTTGCTGAGGAGGTTTGCAGACCCCATTCAAAACACAAGCAAATACGAGCTGTCTATGTACCATGAAGTCTTGACACAAGAGCTTACAGAATGGCAGCAGGAAGGGGTCTTTGCAAATGGGGTGGGGCTCCTTGCCCCACACCCAGCACCGAAAAAGCTTGCTCTGTTTCTGCAGCAGAACTTTGACTACCTCTTGGGGGTGGAGGCTTGCAACACAAGCCACCGGTGCAGGCTTGGGTGTGGTAGCACTTGCTCCAAAGGAGATATGATTTTGTTCAATGACCCTGGCAGCAAGCATCACAAAGACTTGGCCTTTTCTTGTGGGCAATGCTGGTGCCACTTCGAAGTGGAAGGCATTGTGTACACACTTGCTTCAGAGTTTGCTTTGAAATCCTTTGATGGGGGCCAAGGGAAAGCTGAATGGGAGCAGTTGGACACACATGTGGTGTTGCCTGCTGAGGAAATCCAATGCTCTGTAGTGTACAATCTGGCTAGCAATGGCACTTTGACAACACTTGTGCCTTACCACCTGTGCCCCACGCGGGCAGTTGACGGGCGGAAGTGCAAAAGGGTGCCACGTGCCAAACATGTGTTCATTCAGCCAGTCAGCACAGTGTGCTCATTCAGCCAACCAGCCCATGGGCTCGTGTCACAGTTCCAGGCAGCAGTCAGCACAATGTGCTCATTCAGCCATGCAACAAGCCCAGTAACCTCAGCCACATGTAGGCTCACTTGCAACCAGCACACATGGCAACCTCAACTGTGGCTTGCAATGGGGGTGTGCATGGGCCTTTGGATGATACTCCGCAACTGGCGGTGTGCAAGTCTATGTTGCAGCACATGCTGTTTGCGCTTCTGCAGCTTGCTGTGCCGTTTGTGACCTGCTTCTTGAAAGCACTGCAGCGCTGCCCCATGCAGCATGTCTTTAGAAGCCTTGCAAGCAATCTGGTGCACCCAAAGGTGCTCCTCTTGGCAGGGGCTTCATGGAAAATTGGTTCCCTGCCTCAATGGATTTCCAATTTTCAAAGCCTGGGCAAAGGCGCGCCTGTCCATGTTTTTTTGAGCTTAGATTGTGCAAGTTAATGCAAGTTAATTGCTAGCTAATTATTAGCTAGTGACTTCTAATTTTTATAATTAACATACCTAATTATGTTAAAGTACTAGAAGGCTATACCAATTCACCGGCCCATCTAAGTGCGTGCGTGCGTGCGTGCGTGCGTGCGTGCGTGCGTGCGTGGGTGCGTGCGTGCGTGCGTGCGTGCGCGGGCGGGCGGGCGGGCGGGCGGGCGGCGGGCGGGCGGGCGGGCGCGGGCGGGCGCGGGCACGGGCACGGGCGCGGCGGGCGCGGGGCGGGCGCGGGCGCGCGTGCGTGCGTGGTGCGTGCGTGCGTGCGTGCGTGCGTGCGTGCGTGCGTGCGTGCGTGCGTGCGTGCGTGCGTGTGCGTGCGTGCGTGCGAGCGGCGTGCGTGCGGGCGTGCGTGCGTGCGTGCGTGCGTGCGTGCGTGCGTGCGTGCGTGCGGGCGTGCGGTGCGCGTGTGTGTGTGTGCGGGTGCGGTGTGTGTGTGTGTGTGTGTCGTGTGTGGGTGTGCGTGTGTGTGTGTGTGTGGGTGTGTGTGTGTGTGTGTCTGTGTGTGGGTGTGCGTGTGTGTGTGTGTGTGTGTGTGTGTGTGTGTGTGCGTGTGTGTGTGTGTGGGTGTGTGGGTGTGTGTGGGCGTGCGTGCGTGCGTGCGTGGGCGGGCGGGCGGGCGGGCGGGCGGGCGGGTGGGTGGGTGGGTGGGTGGGTGGGTGGGTGGGTGGGTGGGTGGGGGGGTGGGTGGGTGTGTGTGTGCGTCTGTGTTCGCGTGTGCGTGTTGTGTTTGCTACGCAAGTATCCATGTACGTGCATTTGTGCCTGGATGTGCAAGTGTTTGCGTGTGCCTGGGTGGTGGGTGGGGCCTGTACTGTGTCAGGCAGAAAGCTTGCAGGCCAACGGCGAGCCCTGCACGAGTCCCATTTTAGGGTTACCAACTATTGTTGACAACCACAGCCAGATGAAGCCGTGGGAATGAACGCCCCGATGTCCAGCCTTCGGCAGCCCGGATCCGGGCCTGGCATGTGACGGAGGTGACACACCGGGTTTGGGAGGATATGGGGGTGGGGACTTCTTGGACGGCACCCCTTTGTGAGCAGGTGTCAAAGGAAAACCGAACTCGGAAAACCACAATTGTTTGCCCCCATTTTGACACACACACACACCCATAATAGTTGCCTTCAGAGCCATCCGCAAACGCATGAGGCAATCCCTGGCCTCCAGGAATTCCTCCAGCGCTTCTTTGGTGGCATCGTTCAAAGCCTCAACCTGCTCCTCCCGTGTCCAAAAGCAAAAGGGCTCGACCAGAGTCTAACGCCCGAAACCCAAGGCTTGCGTTTGAAGACCCCTCAACTTGCATCGTGGCCATTGGGCGTCGAACCTTTTTAACATTGTCTTACATTTGATGCTTTGGCCGTGCAAATATGCGTACTTTTGGAGGGTGCCACGTGTGGGCTTTTTTTAAGAAATCAAACAAATAACCATTGAAGGAAATAGGGCAAAATGTCAGCTAAGTCTTATAAGGCAAGTGGCTCGCCAGATATGAGTGTCTGTTTTGAGGGTGCCTTGTTGGATGGTTTTAAAGGGAAACTAAAAGGAAACCTCCCCATTTGGAAGCTCTATTGTGAGGAAAACCCATAAAGGCATGTGACACAAAATATCATAAGGTTCGGTTTTTCCGTTGGGTTTACCCTGAAACCAACCTGAAAAGGGTGCCCCAACAACGAACACACACCCGTATGGGGGGTGTCTCAAAAAAGCACCCAAAAAAAGGCATCGGTTTTCCTTTTGGCTTCCGTTTAAACAAAGGTAACACCATTGCAAACCAGTGGAACCCATCCATTTCTACTAAATTAACTTGAAGAGGACACCTATGGGTAAAACTGGTACCCTCAAAAAAACGGCACTGGGTTTGTCTCAAAATACTGCCCCAAAAAAGGCTTGCTTCGGCTTTCCTTTTGGCTTCCGAAAGAGAAAAGCACACAAAGAACAGAAGCCCACCTTTCACTCAAACCCCCAAACCTCCCGCCGTTTCTAGGGTTTTCCCCTCAAACCTCGGTGTTTCTTTGGGACCTCGGCGATTTGCCAGCCAGAAAAAACCAAGAAAATAAGCTCAGGTGATATCCCCAACAACATGCGGTGCTCTTTTTAGTGCTCGCACCACCCCGCAGCCCTCGCAGAACCTCGTGGAACCCTGGTGAAACCCTGGTGGAACCCTCGTGGAACCTTACCTCAGGGCCGCCCCGGACCACCGCGGAGCCTATCTGGGCTGAGACCCCAAAGCTTTCAGCTGTTGGGGAAAAAACAGGTTCAACCTATACCTCGCCTTCGGCCTTTGACCTCGCTGTTTCTTTGGTGTTCGCCTCAAACACCTAAGGTTTTCTATGGTTCAACCTTTTCACACAAAAAAAAGAGAGAAAAAGAAACACCTTTGGTTATCCCCCTCAAACATTTGCTTCTGTGGTTTTCTGTGGCTTTCCCCCCCCCCAAACCCCCCCCGGCCTTCGCTTCGGGTGCTCCGGTTGGTTGGCCTCAAAACCTCCGGGGCCCCGCGCCGCCCGCTCCGCCGGCGCCAGAGCCGTCAGCCGGTCCCACAAGGCGCCCATGGCGCCTGAGGCGCGCCATAAAGCTTCCCGTTTGGGGCCCCCAGGTTTTGGGTCCTCAGAATGGGGGGCTTTTTGGCTCTCAAAACTTGGGGCCCCAGGTTTTTGGGTATTTGTTTGGATGGCTTTGGGGGGCGGAATTGTTGGGTTCTCAAAATGGGGGGTAAATTTGTTTGGATGGCGAGGGGAGGAAACCAAAAGGACACCAACCACCAATTTGGGCTCCTAATTTTGAGAAACACCCAAATGACCATGGGTTGGTTCTGCCTTTTTAGGGGAGGAAGTCATCTTTTTGGTGGTGAACGCTTGTCCCATGTAAAGGGCCTTTGTCAGCTTCCCTCTAAGTGCAGCCCGGTGGTTTGGTGGTTCGGGGTGATTTCCCATTTACCTTCTGGAAGAACCAGGGCTTCAGATCCACAAACTTCCAATCCAAACTACCAATCAAGGGGCACCTTCCTTTGGCTGAGGAACTGGGGGTCAAATCCCCAATCCAAACGAAAGGGACACCTGAATGAGGCTCGATGTACAGGACTCAAACTTTCAATCCGACTCACTGAACATGAACAGAACCAAAAACTCGGGGGAAAAAAGAACCGTGAACTTAACGGAACTTCTCACGTAGGGGATCGAAACCCGTTTCAAGCACGCGCTTCGAACCCCCCAGATTCCATGATGTCGGCTGGGAGGCTATCAGCAGAATTTGAGTTGGAATGTGCATCTGCAGCAAATGTCTAGCTGCAGACATTCCAACTTCCTGTATATGATCATCTGACAAGCAGTCACTCATGATCGGTAGGCTATTGCCGAAGACCGATGCGGGGTCTCACATTTTGGGCAGCTTCCAGCCCAAAAAAGACACACCAGGATGAATAGCTGCTCGTGTGCATGTGCCCTCAGGCATGAAGCGACGCGCTGACAAAACTGGCTCAACGAAGGCAACGCAACCTAGCTGTAATTGCAAGGGTTGCGAAACGCGAATGGCCAACAAGGAACTCATTGCCCCGTTTGATCAAACTCGATGATCCTATCTGTGCTTTCGACTGACCCCAAGAGCCACCTCCAGCATAAGTCCGCGTTTTTGAAATGAGAAGCACGTCAGAAGTGTAGCTATCTCCCAGCTCAAGCAAGAAGATATGTCTTCAAGCTCCAACTAAAAACTAGCAAGGTTCGTTAAGGGCGGAGAACTGAAGGGAAACCCAAGACAGGCTAGGCCAAGGAAATGATCGCGGGGAGTTTTGATCGAAGATTCGCTGAACCCCCTCGCGCCTGCGCCCGTGTCCTTGTCCTAGGCAAACTGGGTATCCCGAGCTTCCACTCAAATTTGGCAACCACCCCTCGGCATTTGCCAGTTCAGACTGAGTCCGGTCTGACTTTGGTCAGAATTGCGGAACCTATGGCCGATTGCAAGAAAACACCACGTCTCATGCCAGCGCATCATCGCATCAGGACCGGCCTCCTTGTCATCCTCGCCTTCGGAAGTTGCCTTGCTGGGAGGAGGTCAGAGCTTGCTCGATTGCTGAGGTTGCACCGTTGCACCACATGGCGTCGTGCGCACATCCCTCATGCTCACGCATAAAATAGCCCAGTCAAGGCCTTCTTGTACAGCTTTCTGAGTAGGCAGTCGCCTGTGCGTATCATGGCTTTGGCAATTGATGTGTTGCTTTCCGAGCCATGGCAGTTGCCCTACAGGACACGGGGCAATTCGTGTGCCGCGTCCTTCCCAAGTGAAATTATACACGACGGACAGACCGAAACAACGAGCCATCCATGATCATACCACCGGCGCCTACTTGCAAATGCTTCCGCTGCTTTGCGGAGAACGAGTCGGCGTGCGCCCGCACCTCGGCCGAAACGTTGCAAAGGAAGTATCCGTGGAAGGGAAGCAGTTGCTTGTTCTTCTTTCGAGTTTGGCCATGAATTGCAGTGTCAGGCCTGGTGGCAGTTTGATGCTCAAGAGGCCAGTTCCGCCTTTGCTTCCGAGGTTCAGATTGGACTAGCTCTGCTCTCTCTCTCTCTCTCTCTCTCTTTCTCTCTCTTGGAGCACTCATGCACAGTGTCGTGTGAACTAGGAAAAGGCTGAACCGCTGACTTTAAGCCTACAAACATCTCATGTACGGGAAGGGAGGCACGTCCAAACCAAAGCTCCATATCCGCAATGAAATCAAATCACTAGGCTGGGCGCCCGACAAGGCGAAACATCTTCGCGCCCATCTTCGAGCTGCAGTCGTGGCAGAACTTCGCCTAAACGCACTGCTGGCATCGCTCGACTGGGCTGATCCTGGGGTCGTTAAAGAAACATTCTCAAATGAACTCTCAACATGTGTTGAAAGGAAACTGCCTACCTCTTCATGTCAAAGAGTGAGCGCCTCTGAGCGTCGCACGTTGGAGAGAATGTCAAAGATCAAGGACTTCTCCACCTTTCCCTCTTCGCCTCAAGTTGAAAGCGCCTAAAACGTCCTTTAGATGGGATGACCACTGGTTGGAAACGACCAACACTTGCTGACTTTGACCACTAAATGTGGAAAACTATCCATAGGTACCCCTTAAACTCTCAACTGCCACATTGAACCCCCCCCCCCACAGCCCTCATTATCCAGGTCCCAGCAAGGGAGGACCAAGGCAGTTTTCAACAGGTGCGCCCACCCAGTGCAAGCTCCATGGCTTTTTTTTCTTGGGGGCCCCGGCACCTCTGTAGGGCCTTGTCCAGCCACTTCAGGCGCAGCTCGGGTGTCATGCCATGCACCTCACCGATGCAGCCAGAAGCCGCTTAGGAGCCATGCGAACGCGAGCCATCAAAACGCATGCGAGCCCAAGCCCGAAGCGCCTGCTTCCCATCGACAATCAGCGCATCCTCGCAGCCATGCCAAGCAGCATTGACATGGCCATGTTTCAAAATCCGAATCGTACCCCCAGTGAACATCCCAATCCCCACTAAAATAGGCTAAAATGGGTGGTGCACCTACCCCAAAATGGTACCATTGGTTTTGACCCACAGCCACATAGCTCCATGAGACTCTTCTGGTCCAGTGGTGCGCTAGGGTCAGAATCCATCTCCATGACCCAAGCCACCCCTCTTCCATACCCGGTCCGCTCTATGACTCCATGATCTGTGCATTGCCAGAAATGCCCAGGATTCTTCCAGGGACTCTTCTTTCAGAAAATGGCCCAACGCCCCAGCAAAAAGTGTAGTGCCTTGTTCACAAAGGGTGAAAAGAATTGAGATCAATCTGTGGATCATGCGGCTCCTCCTTCTCTTGCTCCTCTTTCTTTGAAGATTTCTTCCTCTCGCGGCTTCAACGATCGGCCTAGTGTGACAGGCACTTGGAGCGTACAATCCAGATACATGGTGATGCTTGAATTCCTGAAAGGAGCCCAACAAAAAACGATACAACCAAATGTTTGCTCTCTTTTAGGTGCGGTAGTGCTACGTAGAAATGACCATTGATTTGTTTTCCGCCATCGCCGTTCAACCGTTCCCTCCAAAGAAAAGCGCAAAGGGAGGGCTAGCTCCCAAAAGGTCAAGCTGGTCAGTTCCTGAGAAATGATCAACACCTAGGGTTGCAAATTGGTCAACACCTTGCTTTGGCTTCCCCGACCGAAGTTCTACGGCGTCCTCACCGCCTCCGTGGCATCGTCAGGGATACCCATGGCTGCCAGGTGTCTCCCGAACGCAAGTGATGATTCAAGTTCAAGGGCGGGTTGGGAGGCTTCATGAGCCGGCTTCTTAAACGATAGGGTCCAGGGCTCAGCCCGATAGAGGAGAGGAAGCGCAATCCGGCCTTTTCAGAAGGCAACTCTCGGAGTGGGCAACCCTGGAGGAAGTGTCGAGTGCAAGCGAATGTTGAAAAGCTGGCTAGATCAAGGCTCTTACGGCACCTGCAAGTGACAGAGCTCGGGCCTTTAACATCTGGGGTAAGGAGACCTCGATTCAATATGTAGATTGTGTTCTCCTGTGTTGCTGGTTGCTTCGGACACCGCCTCACAGCTCATTTTGAGGAAACACAAAAAGCTCCCAGGCAGCAACAAGACCAAAGTGAACAATGTGTATGTATATGTATATATATATATATATGTATTCATGTACGTAGTTTATTTTGTGTTTACATAGGTTCCATGTTTCAGCACCGTGGAGTAACACCCTGCAGCCGGAACGCATTTCGGCCAGCAGTCGGCCATCACAAACCCTGGTTGGACACAGCGGCATCCCAGATACACGAGCTAAGTGGTTCAACGGGAACCCCCCAAGCCCATTTTGAGAACCCCACAAAGGGTTGTCTGAAAATAGGGGACCACTATTTTGAGCTGGGGGTTTTCGCTTAAAAAAAACGGACCCAAAGGTAAGCACAAGAAAGTTGCCCAGTGGACAGCAAATCATGGGCCCCTCATTTTACCATGCAAACATTCGCAGTTCTTCATGCATGTGCCGCATGCAGGCGACTAGGTCACACGGGCCAAAGCTTGCGGGAGATGTGGACATCTGCACCACGACTGTACAGTCCCTGAGCTTTCAGAGTTTTGCCAGATTGGCAACTCTACTTAACGATCAACTCGTACACCGCAAGCGACCGCTGCAAGGCAAGGCCGTCTATAAGAAAGGCCGGAAGCGACCTCGGCGAACGCAGAGGAACTGATTGCTCGAAGTTGCACGTGCCACAACATGTGGGCCACAGGCGATATGATTTGTTCCCAAAAAGGACAGGTAAGCCTGGTCAGGTCGGGGGCGGCGCCCCAAGGACTGCCCCAACCAACAGAAGAAGTGATTTTGTCAGTTGCTTCTGTCGGGTTGCTCTCTACTGGACATTCTGTGAAGCACTATCTTGGCCGCAGGCTTAGCTTCCAATGCCAGACACCTGCCATGAACGCACCCGGGCAAGGAAGCTCCTTACTCTTGTGCCAAACAGAGCCCTGTGTGTGTGTGCCTTGGAACGGGGGAGCCCTCTATGCATGCTGTTGATTGACCAAGGAAACCTCCGCGCACTGCGCAAAGGTCACTTCCCTTGGGTCCATGGCAAGTGAGTCATTGATACCCTACCACCAAAAAATAAGCTCTGGTGATATCCCCAGCATGCGGTGCTCGTTTTAGTGCTCGCACCACCCCGCAGCCCTCGCAAGTCCTCGTGGAACCCTGGTGGAACCCTGGTGGAACCCTGGTGGAACCCTGGTGGAACCCTGGTGGAACCCTGGTGGAACCCTGGTGGAACCCTGGTGGAACCCTGGTGGAACCCTGGTGGAACCCTGGTGGAACCCTGGTGGAACCCTGGTGGAACCCTAATACAAACCCTCGTGGAACCTTCCCTCAGGGCCGCCCGAGACCACCCCGGAGCCTATCTGGGCCGAGACCCCTGAATTAAACCACTCTGGTATGTCTCCACACGGAGAAACCTCAGTTGCTTTCTGCTCCCCTGCTCAAAGTTTAACTTCTAGTGGTTTGATTGGAATTAGTTGGCAAAAAGTTTAAGTCCTAACATCTAAGCAACATGCACCAAAGAGAAACCCTATGGGTTTGTTCTGGCTTCCCTTCAAACCAACCCCTAGGGGCCACACCCGTACCCAGCGCCAGCGCGCCTTCACCAAGGTCCGTGGTCGCACGAAGATGGGCGCTCCACTGGCCTGCGGCAAAAACCAGACATGGGGAGGTCTTTTTCTTGCTGGTACCCTGTTCAGGTTTAAAAGCAATTTCACAGGAAAACCATCGTGAATCTTCTTTTTTTGGGGGGGAATGAGGAGGTTCGGGACGAGAATCAACCTGCAACCGCTCTTTTCTTGGGGTGTGGTGGTTTCTCCAATGGGACAGCCCCGGGTCCCCACGGGGTCTCGCGCTCATTGTCCTCCTGGTGCCCCTGCTGAAAGCCAGATCTAAACGGTTCGGGGTTCGCGGAAAGGAGAACATGGAATCGGACCCTCCCGTGGGTGGTGTTCCTTTGGCTTCCCATTAGAAACCCAACCCAAGAAGGGTAATTACCAAAGAAGACATCGAGGAACATGGGCGACCTTTTCCATGCTTCCATTGGTTTGCTCGTCCGCCTCTACTCCGGCGGGGCGGGGCATGTTGGTGGTATCTCCATCTTTGGCCACCTCTCGTCGCAGCACGTTGATGCCTCAACGACTGGGCCAACAAATGTCACCCCGAGTGACATGGGGGGGGGGGGGGGCGACCCCGCTGGTTTGAAGGGAAACTGCATCGCAAGTGTCGGTCAAAAAGAGAGCCAGGAGTTGGCGAATCGCAACTGCTTTCGGCATGCCGTGCAGGATCCAAAACGCTACTTTGGATGGTTGCGAAATCCAGAAATCGCACCGCGAAATGAAACCATGCTTGAAACCAGTGTTGTTTGGCATATACAGGGGAATCGAATCATTCCAGGGTGTCTGAACGGTGGTGCGAAATGGATGTCGCAACCATCCACAGTATGACAATAACAGCAAAACATGAAGAGCGAAGAAATCACTGATCTGTCTGGAACTGCGCCCCCGCGCGACCATGATAGCCATTCTGCCCCTGGCGCAAGCTGGCTGCGAAGCGGCACATCGCAGCTTCGCAGAAAACATGCAAGAAATGTGCTGTGGACGGAACTCTGACCGCATCCTGGGTTAGGACACTTGAGCATAGCGCAGTCGGGGGTGCATTCTACCGCATGCATTCCATCCAGCTCCCCCTGTGGATCAGCAGGCGCGATGTTCCATGCGCAAAGATCGGCAGCGCCACGAGCGCTTCAGTTGCTTTTTTAGACAAAGCGAAGGTGGCACTTGGAAAAGTCCTTGGCAGCATTTAGCAAGTTGTTGCAAAACCGTGGCTTAGCAAAAGTGATCGCTCCGCAGTTGGCAGTCACGATCTCCACTCTGCCCAAAGGCCCAAAAAAAGCTGCACGCCCCTGAGGTCAGAGGGCAAAGGAGCAGAGGGAGCAGAGGGAGCCGAGGGAACGGCGAGCTTGGGAAAGGGAACCAGCCCTGGCCGTGAGTTGAGATCCAGAGATGGGCCATGTGTCACACAGTCCCCATATGTCCATGAGCCCTTCCCCGGCTTATCGGACAGTGGCTTTACATTGGCCCCACAAGCGATGCCTGTCTCACAACCAAAAGAGGACACTACAGGAAACCCGGTCACAACCCCCGCCTGTCCATGCTGGTCCAGGTGTCGATCTTCGTCATCCGCAGCCTCGCGTGCAAGCCTGAGCATTGGGAGCGTGACTCAAGACCTAATCCCGCGTACCCTCCACCAGACTAACATGGAAGCTCCCAGGATCCCCTTGAAAGACTTGGTTCCATTTGCCGAGGCCTTCTGGGAGCTTCCAAGTGTACAACAAATCAGCAAGTCTTCCGTGTTTCTTCTGGAGATTGCAAAGCCCGCGTTCCGCGAATGCTGGCTCGCATCTCCAGATACAGCTGGGACGGTGCATGAAGTCAGTACGGGCTGGTGCTGGCAAGTTCTGGTTCAACGTTGGTTGGTAGATGCGGCGTATGTTCATCTCACCAGGCCAACAGCTAAAATGATAAAAGTACTACTAATGCTACGCACTGTTACTAACCTGCCACCACCAATCAGGTGGTCTCCTAATTCACTTTGAGTGATCACATTCACCAAATACGGGTGATGCCTCAATCGCAGGTGGAAGGAATGGCGTTGCTCTAGGCGCGCCACATGAGCCGGGTGCCCTCCGGATTTTTATGGCAAATTTGGGTGCCCCCCCGATGTCCTGGATGTGTCCGTTGCCCAGATGACAAGTATGCAGTACGCAACACAGGAACGTCACCACCGTACCAATTCCTCCTTGATGATTCTTTGCACGCAAGGGTAGATAAAACGAAAACAATAGAACCTCATCGAACGAGTTTCTGGCCTGATGTGGCTCCTTTCGCGACCGAATCTGTTGCCTTTCGCACGAATATATGTGCCTTTTTCAGACACAATTTTTGGGTGTGGCTTCATTAGGGGAGCCAAAAGGAACCAACCATTTTGGGGGTCCAACACCTACCAATGAGCACCCCCCAGTTAGATAAAATCCCCTCAACCGACCAATTCACATAATATGTTTTCATCAATTCATAACAGAACCTCAACTCAAGATTTGATACATAAATTTTGCAAATATTTTTTTTTTTCGAATTTTTCAAAAATATTATTTTACAAAATTATCATTTTTCCGAAGAATTATAAATCATAAATTTTACAATATTCTTATTGTAAAGTTTATGGTTAAAATTTAAATCTTTCATAATTTGAATAATTGCAGAATTCCTCACGGAATATGCTGAAATGAAATAATTTTCCAGAAAGGGTAATTCACCTACAATTTGAAAAACTTTGTCCTTCACTTCCTCCATTTCCTTTTTGACCTCTGGTGCTACTGGAGGTTTTGAATTTTCAATTTCATTAGGTTTTTCTTCCTCAACTGTTGTTTTTACTTTATTATCATTCTCAATATGCTTCAACGTTTTCAAATGCTTGGATATTGCAGATTTCCTCACTTTACACTGGCAAATATCACATTCATTCTATTTCAATCTGATTACGCACTTTACTATATTCCTTTTTCTTTTCCTTCCTATCAATTTTACTTTGTTCTCGGCAGTAATCACAAATATGCACTCTAACATTAAATAGGTCAGGTGGATAAGTGTTTTCACATCGCCTACATTTTTGCATTTTGTCAGTCATCTCCATGCTACTATTGATAGGTGGCATGTCTTTAAGACCAGACCATCTTAAAAATCCTAAATTCCCAAAATATAATTTTCCAAAATATAAAATCCCCACAATTTCAAAACATAAATCTTACAATGTTTTTATTGTAAGGTTTATTAAGTATGTGTCAAATATATCCTTGAAATCTTACCCCAAAATTTAGGGTACTTACCCCAAAATCCAGGGTACTTACCCCAAAATCTGGGGTAAGGAGGCAGGTTACCCCAAAATCCAGGGTACTTACCCCAAAATCCGGGGTAAAGAGCAAAATTCCTCTTGAGGGCTCATTTTGGTGCCAGAAACTCAAATTCCTTAGTCCATCAAACTCGTCAACATCTCACAAATCAATTCAGCAGGTATTTTGTATAAATATTCCTGCTTATGTATTACATAATTATCCCCCCATTCTGCTTTAGTTTTTGATGGCAGTCGTTGCGCAGTTTCAATATGTTTATTATTCCTTATTTTTCCACAATCTCTATTACATAAATCTCTAGGTGTCCAATTCGTAATGTTATTCCAAAGTCTAGTGCGTTTTCTGTAATTAAATCCATATTTGCAATAATCAACATCTTTAAAATCAAACTCATTCATAAACTCCTGATTTTTTAATAATCCAGTTTGAGGATTTTCGATTACAAAATATTTAGGATTAAAATATTTGAGAATCTCAATAGTTTTTAAAACTATACTATTATCCCATTCCAAAATATCACAATTAATATCAGCATTTGTCAAGTCTAATGAGATGACATTATAACCGAGTGACTTTGCTATGGTTCCTACACTTCCAGTTCCACTAAATAATTCTAATAAATTCATATTGTTTATTAGAATGATTTAGAAAATGTTTTAGACATATACATATTTATCATCTTCCTTAATAATCTTATAGTATTCTAATGTTTGTTCTTTTGGACTTTTGATTTTTCCCTTATTTAACATATCACAATATTTTTTACGCTTCGTGTCATAATCACCGCTGGGTCTGCCTATCCCTTTCTTTTCAAAGATCTTATCAATCTTTTCCTTCTCTTCATTGTTATTTGTTGGTTCGTTTGCCTTTGCATCAAGTTTCTGGTCAATAGTTTTTTTCATCTCGTACAACAGTTTAACATTTTTACTAACTGTCATTATTTTCTTTGATAGTTCAGCAATAGCATCATTCTCAACTTCAGACATTTCTATATATATTTATTTTTATAATTATGTATTTAAATATTTATTTATGCGTTTTATTATACAGTTTACCTGAATAATCTAATGTTATATATGTAAATAAATTATTCTCTAACAGTCTTTCACCAATTTTATTGTTCATTTTTATTAAACCTTCCTCGTCACCTGTAATTTCAAAAAAAATCAATATTTTATCAAATTTATCCGGTTTAGTTATACCTTTCATAAAATATTTATCATTGAATTTAGCATAAACCAATAAAAATATTCTTCGCTCAATTGTTTAGCAAAGTTTTCATCACCATTGAATAGGTCTTTAATTTCTTCATCGTCAAAAGTTATAACTCTATGGTCTTCTCTATTCATAGTTGGCATTATGATTATACAAATAATTAGATATTTATGTATTTAATTATTTATTTATAAAATTGATTTAATGTAAAATCTACTCTTTAAATACTAGATTTTCATCATTTGTTTAATAGTTTCCTGTGCTTCGTTATCACCATTATCGGATGGTGATGCATGCCTTCCCCATTTAAAAGTTATATTATGGACATCAGTTTCTATTTTGATACTGTCTTTAGTTTTATCAATATTCATTTTCTTATCGTTTTTACTCAATTTGAAATTTGTCGGAATACACGAACATTTACAATTTCCTTTCTTTTGAATTTCTAATTCGTTCTTCATTGCTAACATCTTTCTACACATAGGACACTCAAACTCAATAACTGATGTTTCTTTAACAATTTCTTCTTCTTTGTCTTCATCTGTTGAAGAAACTGTAGTATCTGTTTTATTCTTTTTGTTTTTTCTTTTTTCACATTTATATTAATATTTGCATTTTTATTTTTGATATATTGTATTCCTAATTTTATTAATTCTAATGTATAAAAGCATACTTTCTTACATCTGTTGTCAGTTATTATTACTTGTTCTATATTCTCTACTTCATCTATTATATCAATATAATCTGAATAACTTCTATCCATATAAATAATAAGATAAATTATTCTAATTCATCTTATTATTTCATGCATAATAGAATATTGGTGGGGCACAGCACTTGGGTTTTCATTGCACACGCGAGCAAGACACAAAACTAATTATCTTCAATGCTTATTGATTGAAGTTGATGAAAGAGCCAGTTCTACTACGATGGACACCATTCATATCATAGCAATGCTTTCATACAATAAATAATATTAGATTATTTTCTAAATATCTTTAATATTATTTTATTATGCCTGATACTTCACCACCAAAAATAGAACCAATAAATGTTAGACAGTATGAGTTTAAACAGCCATCATATGATAAAGCAGACAAATTGCCCTTTCGTAGTATTATTTGTAGTTCATCACAGGGCGGCAAAGGAATACTTATACAGAACCTCGTATTAAAAGTATATCGGAACTGCTTCGAACGCATATATATCGTTTCCCCAACAGCAACTATTGATGAAGCGTATAGAGAAATTATTAAATATGTAGAAACTGAATTAAAAATAGATAATAATAAAGAACAATACTTATTTGATGAATACAACGCTGAAGCATTACAAAGTATAATTGATACACAACATAAAATTATAGATTATCAAAAGAAAATAGGAATGAAGAAATTATTTTCGTGTCTTCTGATAATTGATGATTTCGCAGAAGATAAAACATTTATGCGATATAGTAAAATATTACACGGTTTATATACAAAATCAAGACACTTCGGTTTATCCGTTATTACAGCCGTTCAAAAATACAATGCCTTAGCACCTATTGTAAGATTGAACACGAGCAGTTTATATATATATATTCAAATTAAAGAATATGTCCGAGGTGGATACATTTATAATGGAACAATCAGCATTAGTAGATAAACAAACATTAATGAAAATATATCAAATGGCGGTTAATGACCAGCCTTTTAGTTTTTTATTTGTTAAACTTCGTGAGAGTGATGTAAATAGAATCTTTATGGTGAGATTTGAAAAAGAAATTCGTAAATTAATAATATTAATAATGTTTAATATTATTTATTCAGAACAAACTATAACTACACAAATTCAACGCTGGTAATTTATATATTAGTTTGTCACATTTCATTTTCTCCAGTTTTTCTAATCTTTCACTCATTTGCTTAATTGCTTTCAACTGTAATTTGTCAATATTACTTAAATCTAATTGTTCTACATCAATATCATTGATTTTATCAATACTTGAAGTTTCAACATTACTATTTGAATTACCCATTATATATTATTATTTAGATTGTTTTTTTCAATTCCTTAATTTATTTTTCTAATTT